CAGATTCATCCTGGAAAGGGTCAAACTGGGTGGCTCCTTGGAGGCAAGGATTCTGAGGTCCATCTAACATACTTTGGACACGTTGTAAGGAGGCATCGGTCCTTGGAGAGGGACATCATGCTAGCGAGGGTGGAAGGCAGGCGCAGGAGGGGAAGACCCTCTATGAGGTGCATTGATTCAGTGACAGGTAATTGGAATGGGTGTATCAGAGACGGTGTGATTGGCACAGGACAGAGCAGAGTTTAGGGCTGTTGTACATAGGGGTCGCTATGAGTCGCAAGCGACTCGACGGCACATAAAAACAACACAACATAATTAGTAGGTAATTGAGAAGACCATGGCCTGTATCAAGTGCATCTTAATCTCTAGACTGACATCGTTACTCCTAAGTACTCTAGAGAGATCCCTGACAGCAGACTTTCCCAAAGCAGTTCATCTTTTGATTTCCTGATTGCTGGTGCCAAGAGTGTGGATTGTGAAACCAAGCAAGCGGAAGCTGCTAACAATCTCAATCTCTTCCATCATGAAGCTGCCAATCGGTCCAGTAGTGTGAATCTCTGTTTTCTTGATGCTGAGCTTCAATCCATATTGAAGACTCAAGTCCTTGACCTTCTGCAACAAGTGCTTTAGGTCCTCTTCAAGGTTGTGACATCTGCATAATAGAGATTGCTGATGAGACTTCCTCCAATCCTGATGCCAGATTCCTCCTCATAAACTCCAGCTTCCCAAATAATCTATTCTGCATATAGGTTGAAAAGGTATGTAGATAGGATGCATCCTTGACGCATACCTTTCTTGATCCTGAACCATGCAATGTGTCCCTGCTTTGTTCTGACTACTGCTTCCTGGTCCAAGTATAGGTTTCACATGAGCACAATTAAGGGCTCTGGGATTCACGTCTTCCCAAGGTTAGCCACAATTTGTTGTTATCCACACAGCCTTTTCATAGTCAATGAAACACAGATAGACATTCCTCTGGGACTCTCTGCTTTTGACCAAGATCCATCTAACATTGGTTATGATATCCTTTGTGCCATGGCCTCTTCTAAACCCAGACTGCACATCTGGTAGTTCTCTGCTGATGTACTGTTCCAGTTGTTTTTGAAAGCTGGACAATGACTAAGAATGATAGAAGAAGAATCGATGCCTTTGAGTTGTGGTGGCGGAGAAGAGTGTTGAACATACCATGGACTGCCAGGAAAACAAATATGTCAGTCCTGGGGAGAGTGAAACCAAGCTGCTACCTGGAGGCAAGGATTTTGAAGTTCCATCTCACATACTTTGGGCATATGGCCATGCTTGGAAGAGTGGAGGGACAGCACAGGAGTTGAAGACCCAGGATGAGATAGGTTGACTCAGTGACTAGAGAAATGAAATTAGGTCTGTCAGAGATGATGAGATTGGCTCAGGATAGGGCAGGGTTCAAAGCTGTTGTACATAGGGTTACTATGAGTTACAGACAACTCAGTGACACTTAACAATAACATAATTAGGAAAGGAGTCTTGTGGTGCAGTGGTTAGGCACTTGGTTGTTTACTAAAAGCCCAGTGGTTCAGCTTGTTTGCACAGGATTTATAACCTTGGAAAGTCCTGTCCTACAGGGTCATTATTAGTCAGAATTGACTTGATAGCAATGGGTAATTCATCAGAAAATGTGCTTCAAATAAGTGAGTTTTTGTTGTTATATACTGTTAAGTCAGAACCTACTCATAGCTGACATAATATGTATATGTATATATATATTGACACACCTGAGCCACCTGCTGGGGTTACTGTGGTTTAGAAACGGCTATTTCCCACAAAGGGCTTTCATTGCTAGATTACTTGTTAATTATACTGTATTTTGTCATTTTTTTAGGAACCTTGCAATGATCTGATTTGTACTGTCTCGACATCTACATGAAATTCTTGGTTTTTCACCTTTCCTTATCTCTCAGGTTTAACCTTTATGGTACATTTTTTAGGAGCCCTGGTGGTATTGCAAGCTATGTGCTGGGCTGCTAAATGAAAGGCTGGCCATTTGAATCCACCAGCTGTTTTGTGGGAGCAAATGGCAAGTATCTGCCTGGAATGATTTACAGCCTCAGAGTAGATTTGGCTTGTTTTTTATTTTCACTAATGACACCCTAAGTCTACCAACTTTTTTGATTAGTGTTTCCTTCTCCAAAGCATCCTTATTAAATTTTCTAAAATGTTAATTTTGTCACTTCAACTTACTACATAAGTCCCTACACTGGATCACTATACCTAAATCAACAAGTACAAATTCCTCTTACAAGTTTTTCCATAAATTGATTTATGTTTACCTGTTTTGGACAGCCAAAAGAAAAAACAAATATGTGTTGGAGAGGGTGCAGCTGGAGTGCTCTTGAGAGGCAAGAATGATATGGCTTCATCTCACATACTTTGGGAATGTTTCTAGGAAAAGCTATTCCTTGGAGAAGGACATGATACTGGGAAGGGTGAAGGGTCAGCGAAAGAGAAGAAGACACTTGACCAGGTGGATTGACGCGAAAACTGCCACAATGGGCTCTTTTATGTCAGGAAGTGTGAAGATGACACAGGATAGAACAGGGTTCAGATCTTTTGTTCATAAGGTTGCTATGATGAGACATACTCAACTCGATGGTACCTAACAACAACAACATTCTATTTACCTCCTATTTATCTTCCACACCCACTCTCCCACATCAAATTGTTCATTACTTCCTGCATACTTCTGCATATTTGTTTGTACTGTTGTCCCTGACTGAAATCCTCCTCCAAATTCTATTCATTCTTAAAGGTCCAGCTTAATTATCTGCTCTAAGAAAATACCCCTAATCATTTCATATCTTATCTAAATGAATATCATCATTTTAACTTAATTCAATATTACCTTGAAACATCCAGTTATGCTTTAGTTTTGTCGCTTCAGTGTAAATTTCTTGGGGTCAGGGTCGTCTTCTCTCACTTTTCTTTTAAACTCTGTGAGAGCATCCCATCATTGTCATATTAAAGATCAACCACGTCTCAAAAGCTATAATCAGACTTCAGTTTATCTTTTTTTGCTTATCTGAGACGAAATCCACGTCTTCTATCTTGTATTAGCTATGCTGAACTTTTCCATTTCTTTACTTTGTTTTTTCACATCTCCATACTTCCTCTATCAAGAACGTTCCCCTCTTCTTTGCTTGATGTACGCCTACTTACTTATTTATCTGTCCAGACCTAAATCTAATGTCTTCTTCTTTAAGAAGTTTCTTATGTTCACCCTCAGGGAAAACAATTGTTCCGTCCTCTGTATTTCCATATCCCATTTTTAGCACTTACAGCATGTTTGAATGCAATAAGTTAACTCTTTAAGGGAAAAGTTTGTATTTTATTCATCTTTGTACCTCTACTGGGTTGACTAGTGTCCTCTAAATATTAATGTCCATCCAGACCTCAGTATGTGACCTTATTTGGAAATACAATTTCAGCAAGTGTAATCAGTTAAGACAATGCCACATTCACCTCAAAAGTGAAAGTTATTACCATGGAGTCAGAACTGATTCATAGCTGACCCTACAGTGGGTTTTCAGTTGTAAATATCATGGGAAGAGACTGCCCATCTTTCTACTGCAGAGCAGCTGGTGGATTTTAACCAGCTTTCTTTGAGTTGGCAGTTGCCCAGTAAGACACCAGAGCTCTGCTACCCATTCACTGAGAGTCTTAAATGCAGTAACTGGTGTCACTATAATAAGGCCATGTGACAACAAAGGCAGGGAATGAAGTGATGGAGTTGCAAGATAAGGAACATCAAAGATTGTCAACCATCATCAGAAGCTACAAAGAGGCAGGAAAGAACTCCTCTCTGTGTCTTCAGAGAAAGCCTTGATTTTGGACTTTTAGTGTCTGAGACTGTGAAAGAATAAAATCCTATTGTTTCAAGGCCCCTGGTTTGTGGTAATTTATTATGGCAGTCCTAGGAAACCAATGAAGTATCCCTGTTGTTGTTGTTGTTGTTATGTGCCATGGAGTCAGAATCAACTCACAGCAGACCCTCCAATGGGTTTTCAGAGGCAGGAAATTGCATGGGAAGAGTCTGCAGCTGGTGGATTCAAGCCACATACCTTTAGGTTGGTAGCACAGCTCCTTACCACTAGGTTACCAGAGATTGCTACAACACTCATATTAGTATGTATATGTAGCAGACATTTATATATTTATAGATGGAGAGCACTCCAATGCTTAATAATAAAAATATAAATGCTTAGATAATACATTTTAATACGTATCTTTTAAAATCTTCTCAACTACTGTTAAGTATTATATCTGCTTTACAAATGAGAAAACTAGTTCAAAGATTGAGTCTGGACCACAAAATAAGTGGCAAACCAAATACTACAATCCAGATGTTCTGATTCTAACCTAAGTGCTCTTTCTAGAAGAATAAAATACTTTCAGAAAGAATTAACTGACAAAGTCCTCTGGAATCCCCATTGCACACAATACTTCTCCTGTAGCACTTAAGTACATCTGTCTTCAACAATACTGATTTGTGTTCTTGTCTCAGCTCCTTGTTAGACTGTAAATTTCATCTTGGTGAATGACTACTTGACTTTATATCTCTTGTTTTGCCTGACACAATGACTTTACACATAGTAGGTGTGCATCAAATTGGACTGAATAGGTACCTGGAGAGCACTAGAATGGTCATTTTGACAGGCCAGTTCTTGTTCAACCTCTGAAACCTCCAGCAGATTCCGTTCACTGACCAACCGAGACAGTTCTCCAACAACTGTCACATGCTTTGATACAGTCCCAGACATCTTCTTAAACTGTGGATAATTCTCAACAAATGCCTGCAATGGGGAAAACATCAACAGAAGATTCTGTTATTTCTTGACTGGGACAGCGGTACATGTAGTAAGAATGAAAAAGCAGGGACTGTTTTCTGCTTAGAATAAGGAACCTACAACTTTTAATCACATGACAGTTTGTTATACATAAAAAGGGAAGAACTAGTTAGTATCTGAAGAATGGAAAGAACCACATGGTTTATTGTGAAGTTCACTAAGAAGAGGCATTACATATAGTAAGACTAAATCAAGGCTGAAATCAGGCTTAGAAGATTCTAGAAATGTTACTTACATGACCAGTTCCAGTCTTGCATGTCAATTACACTGCACAGGTTTCATTTACCTTCATGTCTGCTATTGATTCTAGTTTCTGCTGTTCCTTTGGCTTCTTCTTCTGAAAATCTTCCATGAGATTCTTTATATTGCTACCAATCTCAGCAAAGTTCAGATACATATTCTATAAAAAAACAAGTTAGAAAAACAATTCTATCAATTAATATGACAGTTTAAAACAAGAATTAACAAAGAATCTTATATAGTTAGAATTTTTAAAAGACAAGAATTCCATTATAATTACCAAAGTTGGACACAGGCCAGGATACTGCTGATGAATACCGTTACTATTCTCATGAAGGACTGACTACTCAACAGGAAAGGAAGTAATTACACTGGATTCAAAATTTTAAAAGTATGTGATTTCTATGAAAAAATCTATTGTAAAGGGTCAGAATTCAAGTCTTCTGCCTTTCCATGAGATGCAGTCTTTCCACATCCCTCTACTGTCCTACACAAAATCCCATACAGATTTCCATTCTAAGAAGCCACTATTGACTTTCTTACAAAAACTTAATTATAATATTTTAAAACCCCAAAACACCTACATTTGCATAGAATTCATCATTTTCTGCAGACAGGACCACTTCTCTCAAGTCTTTACTGATTCCTGGCACTCTGGAAAGATCAATCCGATTGTTGTTTATACCCAATAGTTCATGGACCATGGCTTGATATGTCCACTAAAGAAAGAATTATGACAAAAAAAAGGTAATTGACAAAAAAATGTTCTGGAAAACAAATAAAATTTAATAACATTCTTATTAATTAGCCCTCTTTACACAGATCTGCTCTATTTAGTTCTATAATAAGCATTAAGAGTGTCATTTTAATTGGTTAAACACTCAACAGTCAAAATACTTTTAGATTTTACACTTTTGGAAGAAGGGTAACAAGAATTATTTTCCTAATAGAAAGAAAACAAATTAGATCTATCATTAGCTCCAATCTTTGCCTGTGAATTAAGAGTATATTTTTGGCTTCACAGATAGGGCTATATTGGTACTGCAGTTACAAGCTGTACCACTTCCTGTATGCTCTGTGGCTTTCTGCAGCAATGAGAAGTGTGTTCTTGCAGATCTAAGTGGTGCTATATTTATCCACAGAACACTAATATTATCAGAAAGAACCTTGTGAGCTGATCTAAATACTGGCATATTCAGAAGTTTGTATCTATTTTGGTTAAATTGGAAAGGAGAAAGTCAATTCTGTTCTGTCACCATTTATGGAGAATGGGTTAATTTAGTTATAAATCCATTAGACAAAAGTATTTTCCAGCTATTTACATTCTAAATCATGGTATGCAAGGAAAATTTCTATCAGTATACTTAATTTTAGGCAGCTCATGTGATCTAACAGATAGAGGTGCACTACCTACCCAAAGGCCAGTGGTTCCAAGCTGAGGGATAAAGAAGGGCAACTTCCTCCTGTGCATTTATAGCCTCTAAAAGCCCAGTGGAGGGTCAGGTATGAGTCAGTTCTGACTTCATAGTAATAAGTTGAGTTGTTTGAGTTTATATTTAATTTAAAGCAATCTAATTTTACCAAGAAACCATTTAAGAGGCTATAAAAGAAATTTATTTATTCCTAAAAGCTTTGTCATAGGAATCTATGACAAATTATATATATACACACACACACACATATATATATATACACACAGTACCTATCCCCAAAAAGTCATATTCACCATTATAGACAAGGCACTGTTTTTTATTTAGAATAACAAACTTAAGTCACAGTTTGTCTTAAAGAATAATTCAGGAAGAGTGAAAATAACTAAAGAGAAAATAAGGCAAGAAAGCAGGAAACATAAGAAAGGTATAAACTTCTACAAAGCTATTAGAGAAAAGAACATATGTTAATGAAAGCATATGGGTTTCCAGGTGAAGTTAGAGGAGATGTGATGGCTGAGTGGTAAGAAATTGCACTGCCAACTCAAAGACACAGGGTTCAAATCCATCACACACTCTATAGGGAAAAGAAAGGGCAATCTAATCTTATGTAAGTATACAGCTTCTGAAAATCCACTGGAGGGTCAGCTATAATGAGTTGGTTCTGACTTGATGGGACCTAACAAGGTGAAGTTAAATGGCTTTTGAGTGGTTTTTAAATATTTTTTTAGTTGTGAATAGACTGCAAGTTTACAGAGTATATTGGTTTTCCATTGAATCATTCATGCATACTTTTATTTACATTAATTACATATCCACAACAGGTAATCCCACTTATTATATATAGCCTTTCCTGTCATGCATTGTCGTTGAGTGATTTTAAGGAAGCATTTTGATAGGCAGAGCTAGGAAAAGAAGGTAGTTCAAAAATTCAACAGTTCAGACAGAAGCTGCAACATGAACATATGCATGGTGACAGGAAACCAAGAGACATATGTGGGCAGCCCTGTTCAGTTTTATATGAAGTTAAGCTCTACTATGAAAGTTCCTGGATGCTAAATTGAGTAGTTTACACTTAACCTACTAGACAAATGGGAACCAATAAAGATTTTTAAGCTGGGGCAGAAATGGGATTAGATTTGTGCTTAAAGAATAGTAATTTTACAACATTGTGTCTATGGAATATATTAGAATGAGGAGAAATTCAAAATGGGGAATTAACCATAAGACTATTTCAGTATTCCTGCAAAAGATTATGGTCTGCACCAAGGTAATGATGTAAGAATGGAAAAGAGTAGACAGAAACAAATGCTAGAAAAGCAGAATCTACAGAATTTAGAAGCTGCCTTTATTAGAAGGGGGAAGAAATGACAGAAAAGGGCAGGAAGAACAAGGCAGAAGAGAGTCAAAGAAAAATGAAGTTGGAAGAATAGTGAAACCAAAATATCAGGAAACACAAGGTAAAAATAGGAACAACTGAAGATAAGGAGGTGGAAAAAGTAGATCATGCTGTACATTTCCATTCCTGCATTTTTACAGATATTACTTAAAAACATCCTTTTATTCTGCTAGTAAAGGTTTCTTTTGCACCTGGTTTAGCAATGGAGTGATGGCATCATCACAGCGATCTAAAATAAGTAGCAATGGAGGAACTTCAGTCCGCCGGAATTCAAAAAGTTCATATTCTTTAGTTATCACTTGCTGTGGGTGAGACAGAAAACAGTTTGGTCAAACAATTAGTTGCAAACAAAGGTGATATAAATAGGAAATTTGTACATAAAACCACACTCAATAGTAGATCTTTGCACTTGAAAAAGCATTCCACAAACAAAGGTTTCACCAAGTTTAGTGGCATTCAAGAGAGATTAGGATTTGAAGCTCTATTTAACAAAAAAGTTTAAACAGTCTGTGGATGTTTCCTGTGTTAGAATCAGAAATTAAGCTGTAATTTGGGTGTGGGGTTTTTTTTGTTTTGGATTGCAAATACCTAGCTTTTTACCAAAATCATCATCTTCTTAGTTCTACTTAGATTTTGTTGTTTCTGACTTATAAGATAACATTCTCTAGTAGAGAGAAATAGCCTTCATGTTGTGGAGTCAGAGATGGACAATGCCATACCTTAACACATTCAGCAAGTCTCTTTGCTGCCTCTGATGAAAGCTGATAACGAATCATAGGGCATTTCTTCAGGGATAAAAGAAGAGCGGTCAGTCCTTGAGTTGTTCTGGATAGCTGAGTTGGATCCCAATTGCGACCCTTTGTGTTAAATACAAAAATTCAGATAAAATATTAAAATCTTATTTTACAAGTCAAATTATTTGCTGAACTAACTCCCACCTGAGAAATGAACTTTTTAAAAAAGGCTTTTGTTTCATACCTGGCAGCAACCCAAAATATTGAGGGAGAACAAATGTGGATTCACAGCAATGTAATCACCATAAAATTCCTGCAAAAAAAGAACAGTGAGTTCAGTCACCCTATAAACTCTCATTTTACCAGGTTTCCACATGTGACATCATCAAAGTCAGGTGTAACAGACCTATTTTATTTCCAGAGACATCTATACATAACAGAGTGTATAACGTTACACTCAGACAAAAAAGAACTTCACTGTCCAAGTGGAGTGGACTTGGGGGGAGGGACTGCATAACAATGAAAGAGTTTTTCTTTTACTTTTCAAGCAGAAGAGTGAACTGGGGGGGGAGGGGCTGGGCAGGGAGAAAAGTGAAACAATGAATGAATGGAAACCCTAAGTCTGTATATTTTTATTAAAATTAATTTTTAAAAAATGAATAAAAAAAGAACTTCACTGTCCACTGGTGAACATAATTTAAAATAGGTAATTCCTTTTCATTAATTTATAACAAAACATATACTTTTGAAAAATCCAAAATTTGTTTACTTGTTGACAATGAGGATAATATTCTTCACTTAGGACATTTCACAAACGAAATTAATATTTCTAAATATTATGTGTTTAAGAAGGAAAAGGTAATATGAGACGTTCTAATTCAGAGAAAACAATTAGCAATTTCTAACTTCTAGCCTAATGACAAAAGCCTGCTTATTACCTCCCATAGCAAGATAACCACAAACAGAATTTAAGAAACTTCATTTAAAACCTTTATTTCCTGCATCTGGGTGATTGGATACTGTTTGAAAACATGGGTGCTTAACATCACTGCTGTTACCTCTACTTTCAGTGGGTTCCTGAGGCCAGCTATCTACTCTGTGATGTCTGGGCCAACATGACAACTAATGCAGCAGATCAAGAACAGTGAGTCCCCACTTAAAGTAGAGGAGCAGGGTATCAGCACTCCGCCATTCCTTTGTGCTTGGGAAAGTGGAATGAAACAGCGTATTAATGTGTAGATACTATTTTGGTAGCTGTTAACTCCAAGTTTAGCTTGAATTAAGGGATTTGAGGGGACCATCTCACTTAATTATTGCTAGTTTTAAAATGTCTTTATATGAGTAGAATGAGATGGAACAGATGCAACAATATGGAAGACTAGGTGATGGGGTCACACTTATCTGTGTTCCTATGGAAATCATTTGAATATCTGTCTTATATACACTTCTATTCACTTTTCACTCATGCTACTAAAAAATGTACCCAGTTGCTGAGCAAGCACTTGTAGACTGACCAGGGACAGAGTGGGCCAAAAGGTTAGTGTTGTGACCTCTTTTAAAAATGTCTCTTAAAATAAAAAACAAAACAAAACAAAAAACCCCAAACCTTTATTTCTTATCTCTCCCAATGGTAGTCCTACTGATCAGTAAGTAGCCTTATAGTGCCACTCACAAACGTAGCATAGGAAATACCTGATTCTATCCCTAAACTTGTGAAATCTTTCCTATCAATCCATCAACTCAATCTCTTTGTTCCACATTCCCACTGATCCCTTTAATATTATTCTCATTCACTTGACACCTCTTCAAACTTCATAAATAGGAATATCCAAGCTCACTGCTGTGGGGTTAACAGTCTTGTGCAATGCACATTTATTTTGTCTGATTAACAGTCTCCCTTCCTTTGAGATAGTAGCTCCCTTACCTTCAGACCTGATTTTTCTCAAAGGGCTGCTAGAAAAAATGTGCTAGAGAGAGCCAATACTTTACCTGAACCTCTGCCACAACTTCCTGCTCATCAGCTTCAGCCAATGACTTCACATCACTCTTACTGATCACATTACTGAAATCTGAAACAGACATATGAGTTGCGGTTGATTTGAAGATCATTTTTACTGCAATTAGACATAGATGGTCTGACAGCAAAAATCTAATAAATGAGTGAAGTTTAGTTCAGAATACATCATGGCATTAGTGAAAGCAAAAAATTTTCAAACTAAAATAAGCAGCACAAGCATGTTTAAACCTAAAATTCATAGTAATGCTAAAAAATAATAGAATCACACAAAGATACCACCAATAAAATCACCAGACGACTCTAGGAAACCAAGCCAAGACATTTCAGTCCTAACAGTAAATAAATGGAAAGAAGAAAGCTTTTATCCTGTCTTTTGTATATAAATTGTATTTCTGGTTAACAAAAGAGTAGATGAGGAGAAATTTCAGGGAAACTAATTACAGAATTTGAACATAATCCGTTTTTCAATTTTTAATTAATGAACAGATACAGGCACTGAACATCAACAGCTGGTAATATCATAGTAAGAAACAATGGAAGCATACAACATCATTTATATTCTTGCCAAAAAGAAATTTAATCTGAATCATATTAAAGTCCTCTAAAGTGGGAACAAATGCTGAAATAAAAGAGATGAGCTGAAGAAGATTCCAAAGGACAGCTCAAGAAGACAAAGCAAAAGATTATAAAGAAATGTGCAAAGAGCTGGAGTCAAAAAACAAACAGGAAGAACAAGCTTGGCATTTCTTAAGCTGAAAGAACTGGAAAACAAATTCAATCCTTGAGTTGCAATATTGAAGGATACTATGGGCAAAATCTTGAAGGATCCATGAAGTATTAAAAGACGACTGGTGAAAAAAGAAATGAAATGAATAAACAATCACTGTCCCAAATGGAATGGCTGACACAGAAGCATTTTAGAAAGCGCTATATGATGAATAATCAATGGTAAAAAAGGGAGAAGTTCAAGATGCACTACAGGCATTAAAAAAAATGGGCCCTAGGAATACCAAGTGACATGTTTCAACAAAGAGATGCAGCTCTGGGGATGTGCTCACCAGTCTGTGCCAAGAAATTTGGAATACAGCTACTCGGCCAATTGATTGGAGGAGATGCATACTTGTTCCTATTTCTCAAAAATGTGATCCAATAGAAAACAAAAATTATTGAATAATATAATTAATATTACATGCAAGTAAAATACTTCTGAATATTATCTTAAAAAGAATGGAACTTTTTATCAACAGAGAATTTCCAGAAATTCAAGCTGGATTTAAAAGGCTGTGGCATGAGAGATATCACTGCTGATGTCAAAAAGATCTTGGCTGAAATCAGAGAATACCAGAAGAATGTTTATATATGTTTTATTGATTATTTAAAGGCATTTGACTGTGTGGATCCCAACAAACTATGGCTACATATCGAGAAGAATTGGGAATCACAGAACACTTAATTGCGCTCATGTGAAGACCAAGAGGCTGATTTGAGAACAGAGCAAGGAAACAATGCATGGTTTAAAATCAAGAAAGATGTGCATTAAGGATATAGCTTTTCTCCATACCTAATCAATCAGTATGCTGAGCAAATAATTCTGGAAGCTGAACTTTATGAAGAAAGTGGCATCAGGATCTGAGGAAGACTCATTAACAGCCCACATTATGCAGATGACACAACCTTGCTTGTGGAAAGTGAAGAAGATCTGAAGTGCTTGATGGGCCAACAGGAGACATCATGATAGATGGAGAAAGGACTGAAATTGTTAACAATTTCTTCTTACATGGATGCACAATCAACACCCTTAGTCAAGAAACACCAGTAGTCAAGAAATCAGAAGACGTATTGCAATGGCAAAATCAGTTGTTGAGGACCTTGCCAAAGCTTTAAGGAGCAACGATGTCAGTTTAAAGATGAAGGTGTGCCTGATCTAATGCATGGTCTTTTCAATTACTTGCTATACATCAGAAAGTTGGAAAATGACTAAGGATAATAGAAGAAGAATCTATTTCTTTGGGTTGTGGCTTTGGAGAAGAATAATGAATATCTCATGGACTGTCAAAAAAGCAAACAAGTATGTCTTGGAGAAAGTGAAACCAGGGTCATCTTTGGAGGCAAGGATGGTGAAACTTGGTCTCACATACTTTGCATACTTTGGACATGTTCTTAGGAGGGGCCGGTCTTTGAGAAAAGACATCATGCTTAGTAAGATAAGTAAGGGGAAGATCCACAACAAGATGGATTGACATAGTGACTATAACAATAGGGTCAAATATATCAGAGATGATGAGGATGGCAAAGGAAAGGACAGGGTACAGATCTGCTGTACATAGGTTTGCTATGGGTCATGGTCAACTCACTACCACCTAACAACAACAAAAGTCTGTCTTGGAGGAAATGTAACCAGGGTGCTCCTTGGAGCCCGGGTTATTGAAACTTGATCTCACATATTCTGGGCATACTGTCAGGAGACACCAGTCCTTGGGAAAGGTGGAGGGTAAGACAGAGAGGAAGACCCTCAACAAGACAGAGTGACACAGTGACTATAACAATGGGCTCGAGAATTATCAGAGATCATGAAGATGAAGCATGAGAAGGCAAGGTTCTGATATGATGTTCAGAGGATTGTAATGAGTTGTACTCAACTTGATGGAACCTAACAAGTGGACTGCCACCAGGAGTCTTGGTAGTAGAGTGGCTAAAGCATTCAGTTGCTAATCAAAAGGACTGCAGTTAGAGCCCACGAGCCATTCTCAGAAAAAAGGATGTGGAAGGCCGCTTCCATAAAGACTGCAGCCTTGGAAACGCTAGGGGGCAGTTCTAGCCGGTCCTGTAGGGTGGCTGAGAGTTGGAATGAACTTGAGTGGCAACAGGCTTGGGTTATGGGTATCCAATTACCAATTAACAAGAGTTCAAGCTGACCGGACAGGACCTAACAAGAACAAAAGAGGTCAGAGGAACATGCTGAATTGCATGGAACATGTTAAATTACCCCACAGAAATTGAATCAGCAAAATTTAGGTTGTGAAAAAATTTACATAAAATTCAGTTTCTTTTTAAATAAATAAATGTTATGGAAAAAGAAAAATTTGTAGAAGATCAAAGACACATAAACAACTAATTTTATTCTTGATTCAAACAAAAAAGAAAAAAATTAGACATGGGAATTAGAAATTTTAAAGTAAAGAATTATTTACCCAACAGAATGTGGAAACTACAGAACAATCTCACTGATTTCACATGCAAGCAAGATTTTACTGAAGATTATCCAAAAACGACTGGAACAGCACATCAACAGAGAACTACCAGAAGTCCAGGCTGGGTTTAGAAGGGGTTGTGGTACTAGAGATATTGTAGCTGATGTTAGATGGATCTTGGCTGAAAGCAGGGAATACCAGAGGAATGTCTATCTGTGTTTCATTGACTATGCAAAGGCATTTGACTGTGTAGATCATAACAAACTATGGCTGACTCTGAGAAGAATGGGAATCCCAGAACACTTGATCGTTCTAATGTGAAACTTATACTTGGACCAGGAGGCAGTAGTCAGAACAGAGCAAGGGAACACTGCATGGTTCAAAATTGGGAAGAGCGTATGCCAGGGATGCATCCTATTTCCATATCTTTTCAACCTATATGCAGAACAGATTATCCAGGAGGCTGGGCTCTATGAGGAGAAATGTGGGGTCAAGATTGGTGGACGATTTATCAACAATCTGCGTTATGCGGATGACACAACCCTGCTTGCTGAAACTGAAGAAGACCTGAAGCGCCTGCTGCAGAGTGTCAAGGACTGCAGTCTACAATATGGATTGAGGCTCAATGTCAAGAAGACAAAGATTCTCACCACTGGACCAATTGGCAGTGTCAGGATGGATGGTGAAGAGATTGAGATTGTACACAGCTTTAGCTTGCTTGGCTCCACAGTCGACAGTCTTGGCACCAGCAGCCAGGAAATTAAAAGGCGCATTGCCATGGGAAAGTCTGCTGTTAGGGACCTCTCCAAAGTACTGAAGAGCAATGGTATCTCTCTGGAGACTAAGGTGCGTCTGATACAGGCCATGGTCTTCGCAATCACGTGTTATGCATCAGAGAGTTGGACAATAACCAGGGAGGATAGAAGGAGAATTGATGCCTTTGAGCTGTGGTGCTGGAGAAGAGTATTGAGAATACCATGGACTGCTAGGAAAACAAACAGATTTGTCCTGGAAAGGGTTAAACCGGGTGGCTCCTTGGAGGCAAGGATTCTGAGGCTCCGTCTAACATACTTTGAACATGTTGTGAGGAGAGACAGGTCCTTGGAGAAGGACATCATGCTTGGGAGGGTGGAGGGACAGCACAGGAGAGGAAGGCCCTCTATGAGGTGGATTGATTCAGTGACTGGGATAATTGGGATGGGAGTGTCAGAGACAGTGCGATTGGCACAGGACAGAGCGGAGTTTAGGGCTGTTGTACATAGGGTTGCTATGAGTCGCAAGCGACTCGACAGCACATAACAACAACAACAATGTAATAATGGTGTTCTGGTATTTTCATTTTAGCTACAGTCCTGTCTACTTCTCAATCAAAACTATCTTGAAGCAAATCTACAACATCATATCATTTAAGCAATAAATATTTCAGCATGCATCTCTAAGAAGTAACAACTTGGGGGTGGCAGGGAGAACAGGAAGAGAATGGATAGATAAGGAACACAGCACGGAATATGAAGGGAAGGTCATCTGAAAAGAAAGGATGATAAGATATTATGAGTAATGCATCAAACAAGCTGGAACAGGACATTCATCAGGGAATGAAGAGGGAGGGAGGTGGAGACAAATCTGTATAAATGAGTGAATGAGAAATCAATTTCTTTGTAAATGTCCTGTGAAACAATAATTTTTTTAAAACAAGACTTTTTTTTAAAAAGAGACTCATTTTAAAAAGAAAAAAAATTACCTATAGATTGCTAAGTACTGAAACTAGATCATTGGTACATCAAACCCAAAACTCAAAGTCCTTACCACAGAGTCTGAATTGACTCATGGCCAGACATTCAGCAGGTCTTTCAAGCTATAA